GTGACTCATTTCCCTTTTTAGCATACCGGAACCTTTGCCTGAAAGCCTCGGGTGACAACTTATAACGTCTCAAGAGCACTTTTTTAACCTCGTCATAGCTCTCAAACGCTTCTCTCGACAAGCACGTTATCACGTCGGACACTTCGCCGAGAACAAGAGCTAACACGTTCTGCGCCCAAAGGCATTTTGCTCACAGACGTATTCGAACATGGTGAGATACTTCACCATGTCCTCGCCGACTACAAACGGTGGCAGTTGGTCCCGAATTCTATGACTGCTGACCCGAAATGTCGCAGAAGCTAGGCTAAGCGCGTGCGAACACTGTATGATTGCCAATTCTATTCGTTTCAACTCTAGGCGTTCCTGTTTCTCGGCATCCTCACGGCGTTCTCGCCTTTGAGCTTCTTCACGTTCGTGAACTCCTCGCGTTTCAGCCTTCTCGCGGCGTGCTTTGATATCCGCCCAGGCTTCATCGACTTCCTCAGTGGTCACTCCTGCAACCTGCATGATCTCAAGGATCGCTTGGTTTCGTTTCACCCGGCCTAAATAAGGCCACGTTCCTCACACATTTCAATGAGTTCCTTCACTTTAAGGTTCTCCATAGTTCACACTAGCCTCTTCCTGTTTGCCTCTGTTAAGAATATACTTGCCGTACCTACTACAATTTGACTAGCAAGACGCGCAAGCAATTCTTTACATTGCCGTATTTACACCTTCCGCATTAACTTGGGTTTCAAAGAAGCGCTCTTTCTTGGCTTGAAACGGTCAAAGCTCACTCTAATGCTTCAAGCAGCCTTCTTCAAACTACTATAACCTGTGCTGGAGCAGTCTGGTGTACTGAGGGGAAAACATCAGGCACTCACTGCATCGATGTCACTGAAGCCCGCCGATCCCGCAGCTGCCAACCACTGTTACGAGTCGCACCGCCGCCGACACTGTCGTGTAGTGCGTCGACGTCACGGGCCACCAAAGTCACCAGCCGTTTAATAGCATGTGTCTCAGCTCGTGGCTGCTTCTGTGCAGAGCTGATAGACGACCATATAATACGATGGTGAGTTAAGGCAAGGTTTATGTACAGCATAGAAATTGAGGAGTCACATATTCGGCACTGGGGCCGACGTTTTAGGGATTCGAAGAGACGAGATGTCTTCTCTTTGACGCATATGTCGGCTCCTCGGCGAAGCGCCGCGTGGTTCTTTATAGGCCCCAGGTTATACTTTACGTCATCAACGTCCAGAACTGCCGCCGTGTCGTGTCATAATCATCCAATGGGGATCCACCACTGGGTTACATCATGATCCTCAAATCAGGAGCCGCTGCGCTGGGTTAATTGCACCCAAGGACGAGTGATGCTGCCACGCATTGTGTAAGACTAGCCCGACTGGATGGCACCGCTTGCATCATCGGGCTGCTATCGGGCCCGCGGGTTGAGGGAGCTCCCCGCGCGTTGCGTAAGACAGACCGGCGGCGACAGGCTACATGACGTCGTTGAGATGATGGCGTCAGGTGGGCTTGCTCGCTAGCCTTGACACAGATTGCCTTTGCAGAGGCAATGACGTTCGGTGTGGACTCCCAGGCATAAATGGGGGAACGCCTGGCCACGAAAACCAACATGTCGCTTGTTGCCATGGAAACAGGACGTGGCAACATTGTGTTTTAGTGGGCGGTAGCAAGTGGTGGGTCAAAAACGGACACCACCATAAAATACGGATAGGCGGGCACACGAAGGCTCCCTGTTTCGATAAATTTGCACATTTGTTGTTGTAGACCACCCTTCCCCCGATCTAGTTGAGAATGCCCATGCACCAAAAGAACTGCTTGAATATTTCTTAAATGCACTCTACTTCACTTAGGCGAAATTTTCGGTCATATCTCAAAAGATTTGTCGCAAAGAAAATTAGTTTACTTCTAATGAACCTATTAGGGCCTGTTTTAGCTGCTTAGTAGAACAGCTCTGTAGACACTTCGCTGACAGTGGTTCTTGCTTGTTATTTTACAGCAAAAGCTGTTATAAGATCAGAAAACGGGTCATGCGCGCGGCGCCGTAGCTGTCTGGCACCGCCGCTACCAGTGCCACTAACCACTGTCACAAACAATAAGGAAATAAATGCAGTAAATAAAAATATATTAGTGGCACATTAGGATACTGCCCGGGTTCGCTGCGTGCGAGCCCAGTATTTTACCACTGAGCCTCGCCAGGGCTTGGAACTTGTTTCTAAACTGGGCTTAGCCAGGCTTGATGTCGGGTAAGGATTCGGGTTATTATGAGTAATGAAGCATTTTAGAATATCAAAGGAAATACCAGGCGTCACAATGTGAATTGCGTTGCAAGTGGGTCGCACGATGCTCTAACCCATTAGAAAACTTGTTCTTGATAACCTATTAACTGGGGCACATACTCATTTCAGGCATAATTATTCATCGTTGAGAGCCGCTGCATTAAAAATGCACAAAATTTCTAGCACGTGTGTATCGGATACCACGCGTCTCCGAAGATTGACGAAGGGTAGCATAGTGAATGCTGGACTACTACACAAAAATTCTAATTATTCATGGCATAGTTGGTACAGAGCAAGTGTGATTGTAGCAGTTCCCCATAAAGTGTTAGAAAAAGCTCCGAAAGGCCGCCCTTGTAGCATTCGCTGGACCTGTGCTGCACAGTCCGCACAGGCCTGGCTTTTTTTTTTTGTAATTGATGGTGGTCGCTGCTGATTTTACCGACCAGTTAGTGGATTGCCATATAACCACATGGGATTTATAAGACGCCTTCGCACAATGGCGCCAATACCACTGTGCAGTTTCATCTGGTCCACAATAAACCATTTTGCAATACTGTAGTACAGTGCACAGCAGCAACTACGTTGGTGGGGACGTTTTTGTCGAACATTGTAGTTATAATAACGTGTAGTGGTGTACAGTAGAGTACATGACTGTTCACTCGAATAGCAAAACACTAAACATAATTTTTGTGTCATTTTATTTAAATTACAGTGTTTATTGTTCTAATTGCAGCCAACGTGGAAAAAAAAGCCCCGATGGCCACATAGCCCGTATGAATGGTCCGCATGACTTCAAGAATAGACGTTTATGCTGCTTTTACCACCCTAGCAAAGTGAACAAGTGGAACGTAATTTACACCGAAATAAAACATATATAAAGCAAACTTTTGGTACTTTCTGCGTCTTCTTCAATTAGCATTTGCGGGAAGCTTGCCCTACGTACGCATTAGAACGAAAATGCCTGACGCTTCCGAAAATGTTCCCACTGAAATCATAGTTACGTTTAATGTTACGCTCAAAGGAGTTTGTTTTTCTCATGGCGTGCTTGGTGAACCAACCGAAAACAACCACTGACCTTGCAATAAAAAAAGGGTTGTGAACTTATCCTGATCGCACTAGCGGGGTATTATTGAAGCCGAAGCTGTAGCGTCTTTGGGGGTTTATTGTTCTTGTTTTTGCTTCTTCTTTACTGTTTTCCTTATCACTTTTTTAAAACTCTGCTACGTCTTATACAATTTATTTATATCAAGCTTTGTTTTTATGTCTCTTCTTTATATTGAATAGCATTTACATTTCTACATTCCAGGAATTTACCTGAACAATCAGTTTCACTAAGTTGTTGGGCTCAATGCAAAGCATGAATCATACGAAAGGAAAAAAAAACACATGCTGATCAATAATATATTTCATAATTATCTCCAGTTGATCACTGCACATAATAAGGCTTGAATGTGCCTAGCTTGGCCTCCATGGTTTCTATGTGTCTGTTGTAGATGATCTGAAAAAAAAAAAACATTTTGAAAAGACTAAAGTTATACAGTAGATCACTTTGTGAAGTCGTGATAAGCGTATGCTTAATATCCCCGCTAGCACTGATTTGACCCTCTTATAAGCTCTAGAGAATCGCGAAGTGTGATCATATTAGGGAATACACAAATTATTGTAAAGGGTTCATACAGCGTAAACAATTGTTGAATTATTACCTCAGTGAGTGCCACAATTTCTTCCACGGCTGCTCAAACAACGAGTTCACAGAAGGGCATTGTTTGTGAGCGTAAATACTTACCTGATGGCTTGAAGAATCTATCCCGAACTACGTTTTGTGCAAGCACCCACAATTTGAGAGCTTTTATTATCACTAACTTTTTATTTGATTATGCGGATCTCTGTAAGCAGAGACGGAGAAGAAGTGGCAACCTTCCTATAGTATTTCTGGACGTAACGTTGTTCCCAGATTCACTGATCGGATGCATTGCTAGTTCATGTGCACCCTGTAGTTGGCAGCCACACTTCAGGCACGTTTGACCAAACGACCATGCTCGTGGTGATGTCGTTACGTAAAGTGATGACGACTTAGGGATGAGGGAATGATGATTCGACGTGTTTTGCTGACGTGTCGTCATAATAATTATCATTTGTGTCACTTATTATTTACGCCAGTGCAGCTAGTGGTCACTTCTCTATTTTAACGAGGCATCCAAGTGTTTTACCGTGATAAATATCTGTGGTAAACTAATGACCAGAACAATGCTGCGAAACCCGCTTTGGCGGAAGGGCTCCCTTGTGCATCAAACCTCTGGCTTATAACATTTTACATTAGAATAAACCAATGGCGCAATACTATGCAGGCAAGAGCCAAGCGTTTCTCATAAAATGAGGAACATGATTGTTTGGTGGTGCCTGAATGGACGAAAACATTTATGATAAGAAGACAAAAACTCGCAACAAACGAGGCAAACGGCAGTGTAACATATTTAAAGTGTATTGATGTGGTGAGTGCAACACAAGGCAAGAATATGTGTATATAATGTATACATATTGATGTATAAGAAAGACATCATATACATAGAGATAACGAGAAAAAGTGGTTTGTACACGGAGTCAAGCAAGCACAAGAGGCGCTACAATGCCCACTTACGTATTCGCAATTCTAGCGGCGAAGACAGTTTAAGTTTTGCTGTTGCTGCTAGGGTCACACATTAGTATTACAAAGATACATGCCTTATTTTGGCTTTCTTCATCCGTGATGTGAACCATGAGATTTGCTGGGCGCTGGCGTTGTTACTATTTAAAATAAAAACAACATCAACAAATCAGTGACTGTGCTCCCCGTTAAGCAATAAAGGCAATTCAATAACATTCACATTTATCGTTATTCACTTTGAACACCCACGTGTACAATTACAAAAAAACCTAATCATCAAGTGACAAAACTGCAGCTCGTATTTATATAGCACATAGTTGGATAGACGGTAGTCCCTATACCTGTCATACACGTCTGCAACGCAAATCTGCGCCCTTATTCAGTCGTTTAGAGGTACATGTATGCGTGTCATTCAAGCTGGAATGCCACAAAAAACGATCAAATGCAATGTGACACATTCCAATATAATATTAGAAATGCAATGACGTAGCTTGTATACGACGTTTGGGTGCTGCATAGAGGCATGCCAAAACACAGTTACTGAGGCTGCCATTGCCATCGCAACAACAGACCACATACCTTGAATGGAATGGTTTCCTGGGCCTCGTTGTACAGCGGGAATCATCAACGGCTGTTCGACTCCTTCGTAAAGACATGCGGAAAAATCAGGTATTCTTTTTGTGGCAAATGTACGAGACACTCATTGCCAACATTGTCGCAATTACGTTAACGTGGTGGTACATGGCAAGTGCATGACATTTTTCAGAGGAAAGTGACAGAACGCATAATTATTGCAAGCATCGCTTGTTCTAAGCTGTAGTCCTTTAAAGAAATACGTCCATAAGTGGCCAATAAAACAATTCGCAGATTTAAACTTGCGCTATCCCGACAGGCATCATTAAACGACCCCTTTCCTCGTGGTTAGACGGTCGACACCATAAACAACACTAAGTTCCGAAAATCTGACGTACTCCCTTACAGCAGAGTCTTCTACAGTTCAATGTGACTGCATTCTGAGAAGTGGAGGACGTGGGCACAACGAAGGTGGAGTGGCACAGCACGAAAGCGTGAAAAAAAGCGAGCTTTCGAATTGGCGAGATGGTGATTGCGTGTACCTGTTCATACCCCACGCCTATTTTGGAAGTGGTTCTTGAAGGAAAAGAAACATTTGCTGATTTCTGTCTGCCTAATCTGGCAACGCGGCTAAGCCCCTTGTTCGGGAGGGCTGGATGAGATAAAAAGAACAGTGGAAAGATAAAGAGGAGCGAGCGTTTGCTGCACAGGAGCGACGGAAAAAAAAGAGAGAAGAGAAAGAAAAAAGAGAGGCATGGTCGAACAAGTCCGGAGACGGGGCACTGATCGCCGAGAGCTACATGACATTGCGAGTTTGCGGACGGCAGACTGATTGGCAAGAGCTACGCTGGCGTCAGGAGATCGCGGAGGACACAACCGTTCAGCTCGAAATCAAACGATCAAGACCGTCCTTTAGCTGTGGGGGAACTTGCGCCTTAGCGCACATGTTGATATCGCATGACAATGTTAATGTGGCTGCAGCAGTGGACATTCATCTTCACTACACTTCATGCTAAGATATATCCGTCCTAGAGTTTCCTAAAATTAACTACAGGGTACTCTGGCGCTGCGATCGTTCAGAGACTATGGGAATGATGGGTAGTACACGCGTTTGCCTAGTCTTCGTACTGGCGGGCTACGAATCGTACTTGCGGCTTCGTTTATTGCTGGTTACGGTTTCGTTTTAAAGAAAAATAAAACGAACCCTTTTGAAATTCGTGACCTGATTTGAAAAGGTAAGCTTTAAGAAAATAAGGTGGTGAAGCACAACCGCTGAACATTTGCTGATTTTTTTTTTCGTTTCGTGAGAAAACGGCTCCAAGCCACACGAACACACGCGGAGCCAGACCTTCGTCCAATCCAGACCTTAGTCTAATCTTCGTGCCAGCAGCACGAAGGTTAGACTAATGTGTGTACTACCCATCATTCTCATGCTCGCTGAAGCACCGTGCGTTGCAGCTGCCATAGACACTAGCACCAGACTTCCCTCTAGTGTGTATTAGGAAACTCTACGACACCAGTGTCATCGCTGCGCAACCGCTGCGCTACCACTGCATCACCACCGCGTGACGTACCGATTGGCTGCTGCAAAGCGGCGAGCTTTGGTGGACAACAAAAAATTGGTTACCCGAGCGATCCAGCTGACCGCTTTGTTCGCGAGTGATACGAAGTTGGCAATACGAAAAAGGAACGATGAAAGGGATTGTGTTCATATCTATTGTCCGATTCACCAGGACGTTCTCTATGCAACCTTCTTCAGTCGAGAGGGGATATTCACACAACTATTGAAGCGGGTGATTTGCCCCCTCCTAAAGTGTATGGCTTAATGTTGCCAAGGGGGCAACATTAAGCCATATGTTGCCAAGGGGGCAAAATTAAGCCATACGCCACTGAAATGGCGCCGAATGAACGAAGACGACAGCGTTGTTGTACAGGGCTCAGTCTGGGCTGCCTGTTTACTTTTAATTTTGTGCACTCTTTACAGTGACATCTTGATGGGATTGATGACCCCTAAATAAATGCTCCCTGTAACAATACAATTCAGTGCCGTAAGATGTGCGATTGTTGAAACACTATATCTAGCATGCTTACGAAAGCCAGCTCATGAGCTACTTCACAAGCAGACAGCCTTGCGTGTGAGAATAAACGAGCATCCTGTCTTCTTGAAATCAGTTATCTCGGTCAAACAATAAGCAAACGCGCTTGCACATGTAGCCGAAATGCGTAAATTAGGCTTACCGCAGTGACAGCTGCAGAAAGTAAAGCCAGATCGGAGAGTCCATTGTGTACAGTCAAGGTAGTCAGTGTCCGAGCAAAAGCGGACACGTGAGGTTTTTGGTGGACAGGCGACATACGAAACTGGTGAGTGAGAATGTAATAAAAATTACGTGACATGAACGCACGTGCAATGTAATACCCTTGAGAACTAACGTAAATTTTTGAGCCTAAAGGAAGGTAGCGTGCACTAGTGTTTGTCACTTTGACATACCTATTTATTACTTATATTTTAGATGTTATCTGCCACGTAATAAAGAACATTCTTCATGTACTACTCCACCAACTCTGAAAATTGAAATACATTTTTGAGCTATTGGACCGTGAATATAATTTGAAAATTACACGCGCCCTGGAGCAAACTGTCCTATTCTAGCCATGAAAAATAAGTAGAGTGTGTTGAAGCGATATTGACGATATCCTTTATTGTGGGTAGCCGTGACAATAATGGTCCGGAGCTCGGTAGGCTTACATCAACAAAAATATTAATCGAAACACTGAACAACATTTGCAGTGTTAATAAAAAACGTACTCCTATTAATACATATAAACAGCGTAACGTCCGTATCAAAAGGGAGCTTTAAGTGGGCTGTAAAAAAAGAATACAGCTCGACATGCTCTTCAAACACCTGCGGGGTTGCCAAGCTGATGTCTAAATATTTCTGAATATTTAATGCTTTGCTAAACTTTTATAAGTGGTTCTGTCATGTATCGCCGCGATGCATAGCACACTTTATGGTTGGTCTCTCTAGACAAAACCGTTTACTTCAGTCTCTCTTCTGCTGACTTCTGGATTGGCTAGACACTTTTTCGCCCGTTCTCCAGCACATTCACGTTGACTAACTTCTTTCTTTGGAGTGCGACTAGTGATGGCCGTGCTGGAAGAGTGAACTGTTGAACCCTGCCCATCTTACCCCACCTCACATCGGTTCACCCTTTCACCGAGCCTAGAAAACGGAACTCTCATTGGTCTACTTTGAACTCTGCCCTTGGCTCTCGCCACACTGCGAGGCCATGTGATCATTGCCATGCCGACAACGTCAGAGATAGCTCAATCAAGAAACCTGGAGGATGGTTCATTCATGTTTGTAGAAGTGCCGCGAAGACAAATAAAAAAGTACACAACAAGGGCGCTTTTATATAAAGACAATACCAACTAACTCTCCTTTCCGTTTTGCTTCAAGGATACTTGAAAATATATACCTTGCAACTCTTTTCCAGCATGGCCACGAAACACTGCTGAGTGGTAGTCGACGCCCCTGAGAACACGCGAGCCAAATAATGTAGCACAGCCCATGGCGTGAGAATAATGTTAAATTCTCAAAGTAAGCTGAAAATTGCCTCCTTTTCTATCAGTGAATCACGCTACAGGCTCAAAAATCACTGCATCAAGGACCAAGTATCCGCCATTGGCGGAATTGAGTATGGCTTGCTCGGTTCTCAATAGAACCACCGCGGGAGGCCGCGACTTGTCCAAGCGTGCGCGTGTCATTGCAATGAAAGCCGCGCAGTCGAAAAAACAAAGAGAAAAAGTGCTCTAAGTTAAAGCATGCGCGATGTGTTTAGGTTTTTTTTTCACCCTTGCCATCCCTCCATGCTTAGCTTCTAGCATTTTCATCGGGTCAAGAGAAGAGAGAATCCAATACCAGCGTGCAACAAATATTTGTACCTCCACTCGTAATAGATGGATTCTAAAAAAAAAAAAAAACTGCGGTGGTTTATTTACGAGGTAATAGGCTCCTTTCTGAAAAATTCCATGACTACCTGAACGAGTGTTTCAGGGCCCTTCTATGCTTCAACCTCAAAACCAGAATGTGATATCTTAACGAGGCTTCGTGCACATCACCTTCTAAATTGCTAGTCTAGCCTCACGTGTTCTTTGGAGCCTCAACTACCGCTCGGCAGTGTTTACAGAAAAGGTTTAATGGTTTGGAGCACTTTGTACTTTGCTACGGGAAAGCAGGAAGCCGGCCGATTGAGCGAAACACACTGTTCTGCATATTCGCGCACATACTCTCCTTAAACAAGGAAACGAATGCCTGTGTGCGTAACATGTGCCGTTTCAAACTATCTTAAAATGGTAACTGCAAACACAGCTGTGAAGTAGGCACTAGGTCATTATCCCGTGTTCAGTGAATTAGCAAACGGTGCCAATGTGTCTAAAAAACAACACACGTTCGGGATATCGATAAAATTTTCTGGTATGTCTCTTGGTCTATCCGGTGCACTGCTACTTTGAAAAAGTGAATGACTTTCTTCAGAGCCATTCGGCTCTTTATATAAGCACAAAATTGTCGTAGGCAGCTCCTTTTTTGTGTAAATATAGTAATGACTTAAAACTGCTTGTGCTTAGAAAAACTGTTTAGCGATTTAGGGTACCTTGTATTGTACTAATGGAGAACAGAAAGCCGTCCCAGTCAATAATTCTGAAAGAGCAAAGATAAACGCGCCAGTTGTGTGTACATAAAAAAGGTTCAACGATTTGGAGCATTTTGTACTGTACTATGGGAGAACAGGAAGCCGTCCCAGTGAACGAAACACACAGTTTTGCATATTTGCGCACATTCTCACCCATATTGCAATCCCATCGGCTCTTGGCAAAGAAGCACAGTTCCATATGTTCCCAGAAACCATCCTTGTTCTTATAAATCCCTAGAAAGAAATGCGTAATTTGGTCATACAAAGTTTGTCCTAAGTTTCATGCGACAAATGCAGCAGCCTTGAACCATCACCAAATATTTGTTTGCATAGAGCTTGAAAAAAAAAAGAAAAACATGTAACGTAAGTCATTATGCAAACATGTTGACTTAAGCTAGTTGAATGTGAGAACAAAACCCACCATCAGGGCCACAGAAGTAGCTTTTGTTACACGTAGAATTTTGAGTAGTTACCAAGTATTGCGGCTACAATGAAAGGGTTCATTTTGCAATAGACGCATGTTGTCGTAGCTGGGGTATCAAATTCTATCACAAAGGCATCTTCACAAGAGTGAGTTAAAGGAAAATGAAAGCAAGTAGTGCCACATAAATTTGTGTTGTCGCGAACGGTACTGAACCGTAACAAAAAAAAAAATAATGCGATTGATATGTGATAACACTGCAGATTCGTGTTTACGCAAGAGGCTTCGAATGGGGCCTTGCAACAGACGACGGGCTAGAAACAGCTTATTATGTTCTTGAATACGTGAAACGTTTCTTTTTTTAGGGGCGAAGCTCCTCAGGGCGTGGGCTGTGCGTCCCCTGTAGCCTGTATGTAGCCACCTCTAGTTTAGTTCTTGCAGGGTTCACTAGATGGCGGTACCGTCCCCTGTATGTAACCACCTCTAGTTTAGTCCTTGCAGTGTTCACTAGATGGCGGTACCGTCTCCTGTATGTAGCCACCTCTCGTTTAGTTCTTGTAGTGTTTACTAGATGGTGGTACTTGTAGCTGATGATGAAAAGATGCAAGATGTTATAAACTAGAAAGCGGTACTTGTAGTTGATGAAAGACGCGAGATCTTATAAAATAGGAATGATGTCACATATGGCGCGTGTCATTGGTTGAAGGCAATCGTTCGATTTAGTGCGGCGACGTACGCTAGGGGGAGCGATGTAATAAAATCGAGTGGGCAAAATGTACAGAGGATTCATCGTTTACCAGGTTTACCTCCGGAGCTTCGCCCACTCATCATCATTCACTTCGTGGATATGGCGGAATTTTTTTTTTTTTGGGGGGGGGGGGTCCTATTCTGTTCAAGTTTTTTAAACGGGATACAAATATTAATGTGCGGAGTAATATTTAGGTATAAACACCAAGCGCAAAGCAATTTTTTTAATTGTGGTGTTTTGTGCCGTTTTTCACACATACACACACGCAATTCGTGAGTATGTGATTATTCTTAAGGGTTGCCTAGCGCCCCGCCGCGGTGGTCTAGTGGCTAAGGCACTCGGCTGCTGGCCCGCAGGTCGCGGGTTCGATTCCCGGCTGCGGCGGCTGCATTTCCGATGGAGGCGGAAATGTTGTAGGCCCGTGTACTCAGATTTGGGTGCACGTTAAAGAACCCCAGGTGGTCAAAATTTCCGGAGCCCTCCACTACGGCGTCTCTCATAATCAAATGGTGGTTTTGGGACGTTAAACCCCACAAATCAATCAATCAAGGGTTGCCTGGCTTATAAATTCTAAAACTTCACGATAACCAGACTGGACTTAGAAAATGCATAGTATAGATAAAGAAACAAGTATCGTGACGGCGTAGGCAACAGCTTTAAAGGCTGTCTATGAAGAAGACAACACTCATCTCGTTTGTACCCGTTTGTACTGCCCACATCATGAACAGGTACGACGTCGCAATAGCCTGTTTACCAACACGGAAGCTAAGAAACGCTTTGATCAACGTAAAAGACATGCTGCCAAGCGAAAGCTTCCACGGTGTTGGTAATTATATAGGCTGCCCTGAGGGTGTCTGACAACCATTACATGGGGGAGACAAGGTGTCCTTGAGAAAATAGTTGAAGACGAATATCACGTCCGGGAGCAGAACATGCTCTCAGATGTTGTTCGCTGAACACGTGCAACTCACAAGCCACCAAATTCGCTGGCCAACCACGCATGTTCTTGCCGAAGAAATTTGCATCACGCCTACACCTGTGAATCCTGTCTGTACAGATCACTTCGCATACGCTGAACAGGAGTCATGCAACGCTGCCGAGAATGCAGTCTCGTTGCTTACGTCACGTTCTTAGGTATGTTGAAGCGAGCTGTGTCATCCTTTTGTTTAATTACGTGATATGAGGAGGTGATGGCGCACAAGTTAGGCACCGGCTACTTATTCTTTCATTTTAGCATGGAGGACGTAGGGTTTAGGGTATGACGTTTATTGTGAACAAGGCTCTCGTATCGGGTGCCGCAACATCAAATAAACTGTGTTCTTTGTGGCTGATTACGGTTGATTTGTTTACGTGACGTGTACCAAAGTGCTCAATAATGTACTTTGTTTGTTAAGTCAATTCCATAAATTCTATTTTCTAGTAAGTAGTGCAGCCATCATACACCAAAAGGCTATCTTCTTAATTCATTATATTAAAAAAAAATTGCAGATCCCACATACAGTGGGAATCGATGAAACGCGAAGTACGGATGAGGAATGTTGATATGTCACTTTACAATCAGCACAAACGTTACGAGGCGGACGTAAATTATGGCGTATATGACTTACATGTGATGATTATCATGCTTTGACATGTAATTTAATTTCGTCGTCTATTCACGTCCCGTGATATCAAATTTGGTGTATGTGGAGCTCGCAAAACGACCGCGAGCGCGCTTTGAGCGTAGCTTGTAGTGATGTTTTACATGACACGCATATAATGATTATCATGTTTCGTCGCCTGTTCACATAAATATCAAATTCGGTGTATGTGGAGCTCGCAAAATGACCGCGAGCACACTATGAGCGTAGACATGTTTTACGTGACACGCATGTCATGATCATCATGTTGGACGCGTCATTTACCTTCGTCGTTCGTTCACGTCTCGTAAACCAAACTCATTATATGCGAAGCTAGTGAACGGCCGTGAACGCATCAAGAGTGTAGCATGTAGTTATGTTCTTACATGACACGCATTTCATGATTATCTTGTTCGCACCTGTAATATACTTTCTTCATCCATACAAGTCCCGCAGTACCAAATTTGGTATATGTAAAGCTCCAGCAAAACAATCGCGAGCGCACCGTGAACGTGGTGTGTAATTATGACTTACATGACATGCATATCACGATTTACGTGTTACGGTCTGTCACGTATGTTCGCCATGCAGTCATGCTATATTATATCAGTTTTCCCATATGCCATGAGAACGAAACCACTAAAAAACATCAGGACCCTGAAATGTAAATTATGACATTCATCCCATACATGTCATGATTTTCATGTTATGACTACTCACTTATGCTCGTCATGTAGTCATGTTATTCCATACCAATTTTGGTATCGTAGTATTATTGAAACGGCCGGGAGAGCGAAAACTCGTTGGCAGATAGATAGATAGATAGATAGATAGATAGATAGATAGATAGATAGATAGATAGATACTTTCTCCTAACTTTTTGCTGCTTCCATACCGGGCGTCCCCTGAACCACTCAGCAGCAGGAAAGTTCAGTCGCTACAGTGACCAACAAGGGTCATGCGTTCATATACAAGCAATATAATATTAGCTAACCTGGAATGACAAGCCAGTTCAGTAAAAAGTTGAGATCTTTGTATCTGATACGACTGATCACTGGTGAGTCCACAATCTACAGAAGATGAGCTATGAAAGAAAGGCGCATACAAGTACTTCTAGGATGTGGAGCGGGTTCGAAAGTGGACCCAAGCGTAGAAGCGATGGAGAAGAGGCTGACGCGAAGTGTAGGCAATGTGAGGTCGAGGAAAAAATGGAGAAAATGATGGTTGCCCAGAGTGAACTGCTGGTGAGAATCGCCGAGCTCGAGACTGCGTTGGCGACAGAGCAAGAGGAAAACGAGGGCAATGGGAGAACGACTGAAGTCCGCCGAGGAAGCGCTAGCGAAGCTGAACAAAGAAGCGACATACCAAGAGAACAGTAAGGAACCCGCAAACAGAACGGTGGAGAAGGAAAAGCGAGCAAATTTGGAAAAAAAACAGGTTTAGCCGGTTAACTGTCGCAAGGCCCCAGCTTCAGCGGAGGTAGTGGGTGGGGCAGGGAGGGAACAAAGCAGCCGGGCGTCACAGGTGCAAGTAGCCCCATGTGCAGAACGACCCAGCTGAAAAGTCACAGCATGTGATAATCGCCGGGGACTCGAATTTAAATCGATGCAAGAAGCCATCAAAGAGAGGGTAAGAGGTGACAAGAGGGTGCAGTAGGGGCGTTCCCAGGACGCAAGCTGGAAGCAGTCATGAGGCAAGCGAGCGAACGGCTTCAAAACGACAGCTGATAGACGAAACCTCGTGATAATTTCAGGCGGTTAAACGATGTCCTCAATGAAGATGCAACAGGACTAGCAGCCACACTGGCGAAAGGCCGTCGATGACATGCGCGCACTTCTCCTAAGGTACAGATAGTGATATGCACGATACCGGAGGTACCGGTGCGTGATAGCAACCTGCAAAGAGCGGTGGTCAACGCAAACCAAGAGATATGGCGGATGAGTCGAGAGAAAGGTTTTGAGGTGGTGGAAATAAACAGAGAGGTGCATAGGTGGGGGGTTTTCAACGAGACAGAATTCACTTCGATGGGCGGCTAGGTCATGAGGTGGGTTGGCGACTTGCAGGACGCGCAGTAGCTTTTTTGGGGGCAAGCGAGCCCTTCGGGTTGCAGGATAGCTAGTAACGAGGAAAACAACCAGGGAGACTCTTCGACAGGTGGTATGGACAGATACGATTCCAAAGTGGCACCGATATCTAAGAAAGGTAGAGTCCGGGGCATATAATAGACATAGCCACAAGCGCCCAGCCAATTCGACATAGGGTATATTAACATGCAGGGTGGTAGGAACAGGCTGAAGTGGGAAGAGATAGAAGAACAGCTAAGGGAAGAGGAGGCCGATGGTATACGGTTTTGTAGAAACACATCTCAGGGACATGGAACAACCTCCGAATAATCCGGACTACGCGTGGGAATATTGTAATAGAACAGAAGGCAGCAGAAAGGGGG